ATGCAGTAGTGTAGTAGTTAACACTACTGTAACTGCTCTGTTACTATTATTTGACTATTAAGTAACTATTAAGTGGCGATTAAGTAGTGATATTTATAAAAATTGGGTAGTTTCAGCAATGTAATCCACAGAGTAATACAATAATAAGAAAAATGTAAACAATAACATAGACAAAGCAATTTATTTAAAAAAATGATTCTGAAAGTTCATGAACTACGTTTGGATTTGGAAAGCGAGCAAAATATTCAGTATTGTTAGGATTAGGACCAGGATCTTTATGTGGATAGCTCTCTATCCAAGAAGGATTAGGATTTCAAACAAAAGAATGAGAAGTAATATCAACTTGCCAAGAAAAAAGACAACAACTAGGAATGGGATGATGATGTCAAAATAATATTGATTGAAGCTTATCAACATGTTTCTGAAGTGTCAAAACTTCTAAATGCAAAGCATTTTCTTGATGAAGCCTTGCCACCATCCAATCAGTATTTATCTCAAAAAGTGAAGTAATACGAGACCAATAGTGACCTAAGAATTCTTGACTATGAATTTGAAGATGTCGCAGCTGATTTTTTTGTTCTTGATATTGAGACCGCAATTGAAATAATTGGTTTTATAGCTCAACCAACTCTTCTTGATATTTTGGACATTCACATCTAATAATGGCATGATCAAGAAACTTAATTTTCTCTTGAAAGATCATAATGCAATCAACAATAGTATCAGGATGTTTAATGGTATGAGCAAGTCTATTAATATAAGACATAATTATAATTAGAAAAAGGAAAATAAAAGTATAGCAAGAAAAAAATTCAAGTTTTTAAATATGAAAGTGACCAACAATATTAATCGGTATAATCTTAAAACTATATAATTACCCATATCCTGAGAAAATTTCTACTATAGAAAATACTCAAATTCACATGTTAACGATCTGCCTTAGAAAAAAGCAACTTACTTAAAATAGATAAGCTTTTTATTTTGGATGAAACTCTTAAGAGATTTACTATACCATATAATTCAATTGCACCAATTAATGAGTCTATTAGGATGATAATTTTGAAAATTATTCAATATATATAACAATCCTATCAAATTACCGTATTAGCCTATCTGTATTACCTAGGAGAACTATTGAAAGTTACAAGGGATAAAGATGGGTTCCTAAATTATTTGTGAGGACATAATTCAAATGTTCCTTATTATTAAAAATTTTTATTTTTATATTAAGAAATAAAAAAAAACTATAAAGGTTCTTTATAGTTTTAAGTATCTATATAAATCATTTTTGAAATTATGTTCCTATTGAAATAAAGAGCTAGGAATTATATCCTCTAGGGAACGTGGACATAAAGGGACGTAAATTTTATATGCTAAATACTTTAGGGACCCATCTTTAACAAGGAACTCACAACAAACTTGAAACAAATATATCCAAAAATATTTACTACCTAATTATGAAAGATACTACTAATCCACCACACAAACTTATGAAATTTTTCAGAATAATATAGAACAAATTTATTAAACAAAGTATTTATCTATATACTATATGGTACCAATTAGAATTCTAGTTACTATATTATATTATATTAAATTAGTTTAATATTTGATTTCGATACTTTTGGTTCGATATTGATATTACAAAGTTTTGTACCAAAAATTTTCGGTAATTACCGATATCGATATTGAAAAAATTTTCAGTATTGGTTTTATAAAATATCATACCAAATGGTACCGATCAGAACTCTAGTCTACTGTTTGTTTCAAGTTAACCCTTATACACAATATTCTTGCAGTAATATTTGCTGTGCCATTTCCAAAGTATAAAAATTTTTCAAACAAAAAATCGAAATCAGTTTATCCCTTTCAGATGATTAGTGCTCTCCAATCATCCAATCAGATTTTGCGAAAAAATCAAAACAAAAACAGTGTTAGCTCAAAATGGTTTTGTGCCATAACAACAACTCTAATAACAAATAACATTATATATATTCTACTATTTATGATAACCAAAAAGCTGGAGAGATGGAACAACAAGCCTGTTTGGGGGTTCTCTTGAGGAAATAATTGGTTTTCTACTTATAGATTTTATAGTTTATTTGATGTAGTTTCAGTTACAATTATACTTTTTTTCTTTTCTACTATTATATATTCAAAAAATCAAAAGAATTCATAAAATTTCCTGAGTTGATAGGCATAGCCACTACTCAGCTTTATTTAGCACTATAATATTGCTTTTGAATTGTTTTACAATATTAGTTAGATATTGACTAAGTAGGCAAGCTAGCATTTAACTTTCCTGAAATAATAAAAGAAATGTTGTTTTTTTCACAATGTATACTATATTATATACAAATATCAATTAAAGAAATGATGTTTACCTATGGGGGAAACCCCCCCAAAAAAAAAGAAAATTCTTAAATTACTAAAAATTATATAAAGTGTTTAACTTTAATAACCTTAGGTAATTATGCTCTTCTAATTATTTTATCTCTAGTTTAATAAACCTACTTTAACTATATTCCTAATTAAACTTCGTGGCCACGTGATCTACGACGTCAGATTGCAGATAATAGTTGTTGATATTTTACCACGGAATTTGATCTTATTACAAAATTCCGTATTGAATCGGAGTCCCAAAATTTACTGTTGCCATATTATATTATTATATTAATTTGTGATGTAATGATGCAACAATAATAGCATTGTTTCTAAAAACTACATTTGGATGACTTGCCTTTTAAGATAATAATAGCATTTAATCTTATATAAGACGTGGGATTTGGCACAATTTTAGTTAAACGCAATTAAAATGGAATTTGCCCCTAGTCAATTGGATATCAACGAAATATTTGATCTAAGTTCAGAAGGTGTTAATAAAACCAAAGAAGTTGTTGTACCGCCTGTTAAGGAGGAAAATCCAGAAGTTCTGATAGCTCGTAAATATCAGATAGAGCTCTACGAGAAAGCAAAGAATGATAATGTTATTGCAGTTTTGGATACCGGCAGTGGGAAGACTTTTATCGCCGTAATGCTGATAAAAGAAATAACCGCAGAGGAGAGATACTTGAGAACGATTCGAAGAGAGGTGGTGAAACCTACTTTTTGTGCCTTCTGAAAGAGCGCGTGCCTTTTATTATTAATTTTTTGGTGTTCCTTTTCCAGACTAAACTCACATTTTTTCTTGTGAATCTTGTTCCGCTGGTTTTTCAACAAGCTAATGTGATCAAAACAAATTGTGATGTCAGAGTTAAACATTTTTGTGGTGAAATGGGCGTTGATCTTTGGAGCGAGAAGCAATGGAAAGAATATTTTGAGAATAATGACGTACTTGTCATGACGGCACAAATATTTTTGAATGTTTTACGGCACGGATTTATCTCCTTATCACAAGTGAGTTAAGAGTATACCTTTCGGGTTGCAAATTTTATTTATCTCCACCTCACACGAAAAATGGATTATTTACACAGGTCAATCTGTTGGTTTTTGACGAATGTCATCATACTTCCAAGAAACACCCTTATAACTTGATCATGAGAGAATTTTACGATCGCTGTCCTGAAGAAAACAGACCAAAGATTTTCGGCATGACGGCATCCCCGGTGAATACTCGGAGTGAAATTCATTCTGCTAGGTATTATTTATCACTTGCAGATTTATGCAGATTTTATTGTTAATTGTTATTGATTTAGTCTGGTGGTATCTCGCTGCTTTTAAACAAAATCCAGTCATCTCGAGCATAGTTTAAACGCCAGAGTATTTACGGCAAGTGACACAGAGGAGCTCCGAAAATATGTAAATCGACCAGAAGAAATATCTATCAAATATGACCCCGCTCCTCCATACGAAGATACATTGTTATATAATACGCTTTCAAGGGAATGCATAGCTGTAGAAAGATTTAAGCGAGCATTTTTGAGTGCACAAGAGGCGCTTCGGACTCTTGGACCGTGGTGTTCTGACAATATTTGGAAATATATGCTGGAAGAAATGGAAAAAAAGAATGAAGGCAAATTGGATCCAGATGAGTATGACCTGGATCTGCTCGAAGAGGAAAAAAAATTGTTGCAAAAGGCTATAAATATTGTTGGGAGTTGGGTTTTTAGAGCTCCAGAATGTAACATAGAAATGTTATCACCCAAAGTGATACAGTTAATCAGAATCTTGGATTGTTTCAAGGAAACGTCTGAAAACTTTTGCGGAATTGTCTTTGTCGAGCGTCGACACACTGCTAACGTATTGCATCAATTAATCAAAGAAACCGTCAGCCTCAAATTCATCATTCCTGGCGTTTTGGTTGGTCACGGTACCGCTGAGGAAGGTGATTTACAAATGAAATACAAAGAACAAAATAAGATTATTAATAGTTTTCGTGACGGCAAAATAAATTTACTGATTGCTACGAATGTTGCCGAAGAAGGTTTAGACATTCAGCCATGTAATGTTGTTATCCGGTACTATGGTTTTCACATAACCGCGTGGATCAAATTGTCGATTCGTCTATTGTCAAGTAGTAATTTCATAATTCCATCTTTTCATTAGGTTCGACTTTTTTAATACCTTGCGAGCCTACATTCAATCCCGAGGCCGGGCTCGTCGTAAAGATTCAAAGTACATAGTGATGATTGAAAAAGGAAATCTCAGGGAACAGGGTATACTCGTAGAAATGCAGGAAGCGGAGGAGAGGATGAAGAAGTGGTGTCAAATGCTTCCAGATGATCGAAAAACAACGGTCGACGATGATGACGATGATGACAGTGATGATGACGACGTTGGTGACGGACATTTTTTAATTACACCTACGGGTGCTTATTTGAGTCACGACTCGGCGGTTTCTTTAATTTACTATTATTGTTCTAAACTTCATCGGGGAGACGGATATGGTCATTTTCAACCGGAATTTAAAGTTGAGCGGAATATCGAAGGTTACATTTGTTCTTTGATGTTGCCAAGCAACGCACCTGTCAGGGAGGTGACGGGCGATATATCGAGTAGTCGAAATAAGGCTAAGAAATCAGCGGCATTTAAGGCATGCGCGCAATTATATGATAAAAAGGAGTTGGACAATCATCTACTGCCGGTCGTCGAATATATAGAAGAGGATCATGAAATGAAAAAACCAGTTAAGGACGAACATGGTTTGGTCGAAGGAGCTCGAAAATCTAGGAGAGAATATCCTCTCAAAGCTCCCGATCTGTGGAAAATTGACGAGGATCAACAGAAGATTCCGGAAAAACTGTATGGCACCGTACTCAAGTTAGATTTTGAAGATGAGACGTTTGATGGGCAGTCTTATCGTACTTTCTGTTTCTTAACGCGTACACAATTTCCTGAGGTTCCGCCTATTACATTATATTTCCACGGTGTTCCCAAAACTCTAAAAGTGATTCCTTATTCCACACCAATTGCTATCAGTGCGGAAAGATTGGAAATGGCATTCAAGTTCACCTTACGCGTATTTACCTCTATAGCTAACAAAGAGTTTATATGCAACATTGAGAATTTCTCGTACCTTATTGCACCGCTTGTTCACAACGCACAGATCAATGAGCATACACTTGATTTTATTGATTGGGAAAATATTGAAAGGGGGGTCACTCAGAAGCATATACCAATCGATGTAAATAGAATATACGATCTTAACGATGCGGTTATAATCGATTATGCGGATAACTTGCGACGATACTTTATTCATAAGATTCGGCTTGATTTAAATCCGTTGTCCTCGGTGCCGAACGGGATGGCAATCCGTGAAGTCGGCTGTCAAAATTTCGAAGAATATTATAGAAAGAATTACAATGACCTTGAGCTTAAGCATCCCGATCAGCCACTGCTGGAGGTGCGCAAAATTTCAAAGGTCATGAATTTCTTGCAACCTGTGCCGGGCGTCCTTCCGACCTTGAAAGGTCGAGTCGCAACCTTTGTGATACCGGAGTTTTGCAAAGAATTTTCAATTCGAGCTTCGATCTTTCGATCAGCTCTCATGCTGCCAGCTATTTTCACACGGATAGATTCACAATTATTGACTATAGATTTAAGGCAACGACTTGAGTTGCCAGTGAATGATGACTTACTTTTGGAGGCGTTGACAACACCTTCGGCAAACATGGAGATGAATTACGAACGTCTCGAAACATTGGGTGATTCAGTCCTAAAATTTTTCGTCACAATCAGGTTGTATGTCATGTTCCCAGATAAACACGAGGGCCAGTTACATTGTCAACGAATTCGTATCATCTGTAATAGGGAGCTTTATCGATCCGCGAAAAGATTGCATCTTTTTGAACACGTCACGTCACTGCCATTTAATCGCCGGGCGTGGCGGCCAGCAAACATGTTGACAACAGTCGACGACCCCGAGACATTTGAAAAAGGAAAAGTTCATGAGTTAGCAGACAAGACACTCGCGGATGTGGTCGAGGCTACATTAGCGGCAGCTTACTTGAGTGGTGGAACCGAGGCAGCCTTAAAATGTTCTATAGCGATGGGTGTCCCGATGGACGACATCACGGAATGGAATCATTTCCATCTTAACAATAGAAATCCACCGCGGGTTAGCGCAAAGACGCTTAGGAAGCTTAACATTGAAAAGATCGAGAGTATTTGCGGGTATACGTTTAAAAACAAAATTCTAATCGCCGAAGCGTTAACTCACGCTAGCCTTCCCAATTCAACAACTGCTTGCTACCAACGTCTTGAATTTCTAGGCGACGCAGTATTAGATTTTCTGACGGTCAAATACTTGTTTGAAAAATACCCGGATGGAACACCTGGAATGTTGACAGATCTGAAAGACTCGTCGGTTAATAATCAAATCCTTGGTGCAATTTGTGAAAGGATAGGTCTCCACAAACACATCATCCACTTTTCACCAAAATTAATGTCGTCGATAACAGAGTTTGTGAATGTGATCGAGGAAATCAAGGAGAGAGGAGAAGCTGTGGGAGAGTATTGGAGCGACACAAGTGTTCCCAAAGTGATGAGCGATGTTGTCGAGAGTATGTTGGGTGCGGTTATCGTCGATGCCGAGTTTGATCCCGAAGCTTCACAGAGGGTATTCGACAAGTGGGTGAGGCCAGTTTTGGACGAGTTTGTCACTCCAGAAACTGTGAAAGTTCACCCGATGAAGAGATTTACCGAGTTCATGCAAAAGCGAGGATGTGATAATTTTCTTTTTAGGTAAGGATCTTTATATTGAGTTTGTTTTCAGTTAAGATGTGTAAGGCAGTTGAACCTTAGCCCTTGTTCAATGCAACAGGAATCTTACTTCCGAAGGACCAGATAGTCCTCAGAAATGTGTATTATTCATCCACGATTCGTCTGTGTCTCATGCGATTTCCGATAACATTCGATCGGCGAGGAAGATGGCCGCTCAAGAGGTTTTAGAAAAGATCGATTCTCAACCCGAATTTCTTGAATCAGTGTGCAGTTGTGCAGTATTTCCAAAAGACACTTCATTGTTTGATGACGACGATGAAGAAGTGCTGTTGGATTGAAAATTTTGATTCACATGTATTTATTGGTAGAGCATAAAAAAAAAAATTTCATACTATAAGGATATGTTTTGAATTTATTGTTTTTTTTTAATTTGTAATTTCCATGTTTGTATCATAGATGTTTCACAAAATAGTTTATTGAATAGCATTAAGCGCTATAATTATAATTATCGCTCACACCAATGACCTATCATATTAATAAATATTTTACACACTCATAACGGAGTAACTAACTTTTTACATCTGGCATTCCCAATTATATATAATACTCTATCATGATGAATGCATTTTACCACCGCCGGACTAACATACAGAAACCATCATTTAACACGCACTTCCTAGACATCCGATTCCCCGAAAAACACGGTGGGCTAAATACTCCGATATCAGAGACAAGAATCCAAAGTCTGAATGCCGAAAGTGTCATATTCCAGCGGCTCCACGCGCGATTCTCTCTAACATCGAAGAAGAGAGCCACTCGCTTGGAGTAATATTCAGCAACTAAACGATTGGAATTTATAAATACTATTTATTGGATTGATGAAATTAAAGAGGGACACACTGATTAATAATTACCTTTTCAAATTTTGAGGCGTCCGTTGGCGAAGAAATTAAAACCCGCAACAAACAACGATCGATCAAATGTTCGATGGCAAGTGGGCGAAGGACATCTTCCGATAAGTGACCTTTCCACAGTATTAGGTTGTGTAACAACTAATTTTTGGAAAATTTTCACATTAGAGCGAGAATTGCAAAATTGGAATTTTCAACTCGGTAAATTAAAGATTACCTTATATTTGCGCCAAAAATACCTATCCCGCGCCCTCAAAACATCTAAACTTATTTCAGAGATTTTAAAGCAAAATTCTTCAGGTACCCGTTCGATTGAGGCGATCACGTTGTTCAGTCGTTTGGAGATCGCTGATGCAAAGTCCTGATCAATAGAGAAAAAAAAATAATGATTAGAATTTATATAAGTAGATAACGAATAATTATCCAAGGAATGAAATATATGGAGTAAGTGCCTTAAATCTTTGTGAACTCTTGTCAACATATTTCATTGAACATTCAAAGAACTCAATAGCAGATTTTGTTTGGCTGGATGAATATGGATTCATGACATCTGCCAAGTGCCTTACTCTTGGTAAAACAATCTTCTCAACAATTTTATTCATAAGCTTTCCATCGTCTGTTTCTGTACGCATTTCACCAGAGTTCACATCGTCAAATCCGCTCAGAATTCGAAACCATTCCATGTCATTGAAATTAGAGTGTCCCTTTAGCATACAATTGATAGATTACCGAGTGTAAAAATACAAATAAAATTAAAATAAAATTCAAACGTCAAAGATTTGCATTTGTTATATACCTCGAAGGATTCCCACAATAACATTTCATGTCTGACATAGAATTCGAACACGTCGGGTAAACTCAGTTCACCGTACGCCTTAGAATAATCTTCGTAGAATTCTCTTTTCCATCTGTCAAATTTCGATTTTACCAAAGTCATAGATTTAAATTCATCGACAACATTTTCGAATAACCTTGTACGGTAATAAGAGATTTCATCTGAACAAAGTAAAGATAGAAAGCAGGTCATTCACGGCGAAATCCTTCGAATTGGAGAAGAAAATTGATTCATAATAGCAAAAATCGAACCTAATTTGGATAAAAACTCTTTCATATCAGCCTCTCCTAGCTCATCATCCGTTGAGAATCCTTCTTCTTCATCTATAATTTTCATCCGGTTTTGTAACCTTAACGTCCTTCTTCGATCACGTTGCTGTCTGCGATTCTGACGAATGACATCGTTAGCCAGTGAACTTGCCGAAATTGCGCGTCCGAATTCATCCACATTTTGTGTCCCGCCGTCATCAGCGCCTATTGATATTTAAAGGTTTATTAATTATCAATATTTGTTTCATACGATCTCAATAAATCTCATACCTAAGTGTACATTGCAAAACAACGTAGAATCATCTGAATCATCATCTGCGATTCTCTTCATATAAAATTCCGACTTTTCGATTAGTAGGTTTTGGAAATCACTTTCCAACTTCTCAAGGATGGGAAACTGAGTAGAAAGAAAAAAAAAATAAATAAATAACAGATAATAGCAATCAAAAAGAACCCAATGCCAAGTAACAAATCGTCATAATATTAGACCTGTAATTTCAACATTAACAACATTAAACAACCTTAACGTCGAGAAATTCGACCAGGTTCTCAACGAATAACCTGAGTTCTTGAAAATACATGTACCGGTTCTTCGTGTTCCTCAAGTCTAAATCTAATTTTTCGCTCGATGGTATAATGCTTTCCATGTCCCTTTGAATTCGAACAACCCGGGATTGATGATCTTCGTGAAGGGATTGTAAATCTGTCATCTTTTGTTCGAGCATCGATTGAATTTCGGATATTGTGGGGATAGGAGCGA